GGCCTCCGGCTGCACTGTCGCGGCGGCCAGCGTCGACGGCCCACCTGCCGAGTGCACGCGATAGCGCAGCTGCGCGCCGTCGGCCACGCCCGCGTCCGCCTGCTCCTCCACGAAGCCGCGCAGCTGCACGCCGCAGTCGACGCATGTGAGCCCGCCGTCGTGGAGCCGCACGAGTGGCAGCGATGCGTGCCGCGCAGCCGCCTCGCCGCCTGCGGCGAGCGGTCGCGCTGGTCCTGCGTGCCGCCCATCGATTGTGACGCTGGCCGATCTAGGCACGGGACCGGCGCGCACTCGGTGAGTGCATGCTTGCGGTGCGCGTTTGTAAAGAAAGAATGACAATTTGTCCGCCACTTCACAGCTATGCCTTGCTCCTTTAGGTGCTCTTTGTATATCTGAAACTTGTTCGGGGGCGTGAGCGCCCTGCATCGGACCACAAACACGCTCACTTCGCCGCTGCTGTAGAGGGCCGCCGGGGGCCCATACTACGTCGAAGAAGATCAAGCATCGCATGTACCATGTTTCATTGCAATGATTTTCAATATCATCGGCTTAGTCGGCTTATCACAGTCGCTAGCTTCCTTGTTAGCTTGCTAGTATGTTTGATATTCATGTGTCAATCATTGTAACATCACACTTCTAATCCTCTATCACATCCTCTACCACTCCCACCACCACAGCTAGCTGTGGTGGTTCCGAAAAACAGGTGCGCGGGACCTCAATCCGCAACGGTAGCGAGATAGGTGCTCGCATATACTATATGCGAGCACTATCGCTAAAATCTGGCAAAATGAGGCCACAGCCCCGCTGATGCACTGTCTGCTAGCGGGCAGCAGCAGCACGGCTCGGCACCGCGCTCGGTGGCGTTTTGCTGACCTCAAACGTCAAAGCACAGCCGTTTCGCGATGGCTGAGAGAGAGCTGTGCGCCTGTGCAATCCACGCGCACGCTACCAGCGGAGGATGGTGTGCTGCTTTGGCGCGGTGCTGAGAGGTACGCGCGGCGCTGCAACTACAGCGCATAGCTCTAGGCAGCACCTCGAAGTCGACGTTCGTGGCGATTCGCGTCGAGCGGACCGGCTGCGAGCCAGGTGGGCTACGAGCGAGTGCAACCACGACGGCAGCTGTCAATCTCTGAGACACAACAGCTGCCGTCGTGATTGTCAAAGATGGTGCGTTTGGCAAAGCAGGTCACCAAACGCGAGCGATCGAGTCGGCGCCGGCGGCTCGCGTCTCGCGTCGAATAAGAATTTGACGAGCGGCGTTCTGCACGACACGGGGCACGGGACTCGCGCGCACTGGCTTTGAAAGAAAAACACTTTTCAGTGAAGAATGTTTGTCAAGGAAACCGAGTCACCACGCACATCTACTGCCACGGAAGTATGCACACTGTTCCAATATGAACATCTTCAGAGACGCGCTACTCAACAAGTCCTCAGCTACTAACAACATGCGGCAGATCAGCGGCCGTCGGTGGGGCTAATCCTTGTACTCAACTGGGTGATCTAGTAAGGCATGTCGAAACTTTTGTTGTTGGTCAGCAGCATGTTCGGATGCACCGCCAGCTGCGCCTGCTGCTGCGCAGCGTGCCTGCGGAAGCCTTTGTCGCGGTACTTGACGATCCGGTACACGAACTGCTTGACAGTGACCTCGAGAGCGGATGCCCACTCAGGCGGCGACATCTCCTCAAACGGCTTTACATCGGGAGCCTGAACGACATGCAGATGGACTTGCGCGGCCCGCGCAACTTGGACTCGATCGCGACGCTCGTCGTCTTCGCGCTGCCAGGGACGGCATTCGTCACGGAGTAGCGCCGGTCCGAGCCGTCGCCAACCAACCAGCGGCTGACTGTGTCTCGGATGCTCGCGGGCTCGTCGGCAACCGCCTGCGCCAACCGCTCCGCGAGCGGTGGTTGCGGCCCCGATGTCGGTTCGAGCGCCTCCACCAGGCAGTCGCGGCAGACCCAGCCCGAATCTTGGAAGTTGACGATCACGGTGCGGTCGTCGCCTTCGTACGTAAATGCCTGCTTGCAGAAAAAGCATATGCCCGGGCGGGCCGCCGCGATCGGCCGGCTGCACGTCCCAATGGGCGATCATGACTGGCTACCTTCTGCACGCTCTCGCACCCCTTGAGTTCGGCGACAACGAGGACGGCGCGCACATCCAGTATGCCTGCACCGTAATCAGCACCAAACCATCGGCCGAAGCAATAATCAACGAGTTTAAGCGCAAAATGAGCACTTTCCCTCACCAGCCGCGCTTCTCGAGCGATGCGAAAAATCAGT